TCCGATCTCCCCAAAACCCCAAAACCCCAAAACCCCTTCAGTAAATTATTTTTGTAAATAAATAATACACATACACTAAACTTTATTTTCTTAAATGGAATCTGATTACTCAAAGTAAAGTTTCTTAACACCTCTGTATATTACAAGTATAATGTTTAACAACTAAACCTTCTTAATTAATCTTTGCATTTCCTACTAACACATCTATTTAGCTTATCAAGAGCCATTAATGAATCTAGAAGAGTGAAGAAGAAATCTAAGCATAGCTTTGTAGGCCATTACATCAAAACCTCACCATGCTCTCCAGTCAAAGCTTCATTCATTACAAAGAAGTCTGAGAGTTCAATGAGGTCACAGAAAAGGCGTGCTGCAAAATATAAAAAATAAGTAAGCAGTCTCCCAAATTTAATACAATCTTCTGTAGCTTCAAATTAGGAAATACTCTTAAACTCCCAACGGTGATGGCTGGTAAAGGATTTTCAGGCTCGATGCCTAGCTCTCCAGTATCGTATTATAAAGATAAATCTGAGAAATTTGAGGTAACTAGCTTTCAGACACGTAAAACGAGCAAGGTTGAGAAATCAAGTATTATCCAGCCAGCTTCCTCGATTCTCAAATTTTATTCAACCCAAATAGAGTCTGATATTGACTCAATGTCAAATAATATCGCTGACGCTAAGGAAGATCTTGACCCAATTGATAAAAATAATAAAGAACTTCAGGATCACTTCGTGAGCATGTGCGATAGAAATAACCAGTTCTTATTCAGCAACAGTAGCCTGACTCGGCAAAGCTTTAAGAGTTACCTCTCTAAGCGTTACTGAAAGAACGTGGTAGAGAAGTTACTGTCAATCATGAATTTCCCTCAGACAGCTTCATATAATATATTCTGTAGACTCATCACCCAACTTTTGGAGATGAGTCCAATAGAGAAAATGAAGATGGCTTTTGTGTTTTATGCACATAAATACGATGATAAAATAACTGCTCTTGATGCCTTCTCGATGATGTCTCATTTATCCCAGTTTGACTTCCTAATTCTTCAGAGAGATATAAAGGAAATCTTCAAAGGTTTGGCTAAAGTAAAACAGAAAAGAAATGAGGCTTACTCGTCTAGATTTAAATGAAAATCTATGGAGCGGAAGTATGCAGAGTTCACCATGGCTAAGACTAAGAGTCCAGAGAAATAAACTTGAAATTGTTCCAAGCGTTGCCGAGAGAAGGGAAATGAGGAGTTCTAAGGATAAAGGAAATATTCCATTAAGGAAAATGGCAAATAGTGTCAGAGTGTCTCCTAAAAATAAAGGTAATTGTTGTCTAATAAATTCTGTAGGCTCATTCGTCAGCCAGTATTCTGGTAAATCTCCTACAAAAAGTAGTGTTGTTGAAGAAGGAAATAAAACTCTAAAAATTTTGAGAAGGAATTTCCACAAAACCTAAGATGTCAAAGACTTTCCTTGAGTATGCTGGAGATATGTATACTAAGATCCTTCGCTATCAGAAAAATAAAATCCCTGAAGAAAAGGTATCCCAATTAAACAGCCTCAGGATGAACTCCTTAATGAGAGTTCCAAAGCTTGAAAGCTTAAATACATTCATAAGCAGCTCTGATGAATGCCGTAGAGGCATTTCTGCATTATCATCCAGCAACTTCACTGTTACAGATTGCTTTAACATGTATATCGAAGAAAAGAATGTGACTGAGAATCAGGAATATCTCACATTCAATGATTTTTGTTCTCTAAATTTCCATTCGAGATACCCAGAGATAATCTACGATATTTTCTATGGTAATACTTCTTCTGACTTTTTATCTAAAATTGTGTTATAGTTGTCTGAAAATACAAGTTCACAAAAAGGTAGGCATTAGGAATTATCATTTAGCAAAGAGAAGAATGAGCCTAACTACTATAATCTCCTTCGGAAGGAGATTAATAAGGTACCGATTATTTCAGATAAGAAGACGCTTGACTTGAGAAAGAAAGTCGGATGGAGGTATGATGAGGAAGAGATCAGCAAGAAGATCAACTTACTCAAATAACAACTCAGGTGGTCTATTTTCAATAAAGTTTATTTTAATAGGGGTTTTGGGGTTTTGGGGTTTTGGGGTTTTGGGGTTTTGGGGTTTTGGGG